GCTGCACTGGTTGCCAGTGGCCTTCCGGGTGCGCTTTAAGGTGTTAGTTACCACCTTTAAAGCGCTTCATGGCATAGGACCCGGTTATCTCCGAGACCGCCTTCTGCCGCAGATCCCCTCCCTCAGACCGGTACGCTCCCACAGAGTGGGCCTCCTCAGGGTGCCGTCGGCCAAGCAATGTCGGCTGGCGACCCCCAGGCGGAGGGCCTTCTCTGTGGGTGCCCCTACCCTCTGGAACGAACTACCCCCCGAGATCCGGATGATTCCGGATCTTCTTGCTTTCCGTCGCGCCCTCAAGACATGGCTCTTCCAGCAAGCGGACCTGACCTAGGGAGGATTTTATTTGGGGTTTATTTTTTAACAATTTGACAGAGACACAACTTTAAAATTTGATTTAATTCGGCTTTATCGGGGGGGAATGTATTTATGTTTTGTTTTAAATATGTTGTGCGCCGCCCTGAGTCCCGTTGGGAGAAGGGCGGCATATAAATTAAATTTATTATTATTATTATTATTTATTATTATTATTTGAGGGCTATCACAAAGAAGATGGGGGTCAATCCATTTTCCAAAGCAGCAGAAGGCAGGACGAGAAGCAACGGATGGAAACTAATCAAAGAGAGAAGCAACCTAGAACTAAGGAGAAATTTCCTGACAGTTACGGGTTGCCTTCAGAAGTTGAGGGTGCTCCATCACTAGAGATTTTTAAGAGATTGAACAGCCATTTGTCCAGAATGGTATAGAGTCTCCTGCTTGAACAGGGGGTTGGACTAGAAGACCTCCAAAATCCCTTTCAACTCTGTTATTCTGTTATATATTATAGTGCGTTTTTTTTAAATCTTCTTTTTTGTTGTGCACAGTTGAGCGTGGGATGTAGTAAGTAGGATTCAGTGCCTATCATTGCAGAAGGCTGTGTGAGGCAAACTCACAACTGCTCCTTGGATATATGAAGGCACAGAAAAAAAAGTTAGAATACCACTTTTCATTCCTGTTGATAATCAGATCTTCATTTGCTATACATGGAATATTGTAAATTATAAACTAAACTATTAGTTAACCATGTTCAAAGTCATAATAAAATAATAACTCTAGATCAGTATGTATTTAAAAAGAAACATTGACTTGGTCAGAAAATTATTATTATTTTTCTAATTAACTCAGTTTCCCTACGGATATGTGCTTTGAATATATGGAAAGCCTTTGATTATGTGAACGTATTTCAGCAAAAAATAAATTAATCTTTTCTGTTTTGTGTTTATACGATCTTCTTTTTTCTTTCCACTGATGCAGAACTTTCTAATCCTTGATGAGGTTTCTCAGTTCAGACCACAACTCAAAAGTAACAGTGAAAATCCTATCCTTAATGTACACCATTTAACTTGCTCCTGGGACAAGGTAAATCACCTTTATTCTGAATGGCAATACAGAATCGGTCCACCTTTGCAGCTTGAACTAAAGGATGCAAAATTTGGAGATAGTGATGGCTATCTCTGAACAAGTAGTGTGTTTTCCCCCTTTTCAGGTTGTTGTTAAACTAAAAATGCTTTTCTCCCTCCTTCCAAATAAAATACATTTAGTAATGCAATGAAGAATGTTGCTTTCAGTAAGCAATATGACCTATAGCAGGGGTGTCAAACTCAGTTTCATTGAGGGCCGCATCAGCATTGTGGTTGCCCTTGGGGGGCCGGGTGGGTGTGGCCAGGGTGGGTGCGGCCTACTGAATGGGTGTGGCCAGGGTGGGTGCGGCCTACTGGGTGGGCGTGGATGGAATGGATGTGGCCTACTGGGTGAGCATGGCCAGCTCTACATCGTTCACGTCAAGGGTGCCTGTGGGGGCCTGGGCAGGAATGGGACAGATCTGAGGGTCTCTGGCAGAAGGGGGTGGGACCGGGGCAAGCGCCAAGGCATGGTCCATTTCTTCATTCCTCACAAAAGGTGACACCTTCCCAGCATGCACCCAGGGGTTGGGGCCGACACAGCAGGGGCTGGTTCCTCGCTGTTTCTAGACGGCCTTGTGGAGCTAAGACTGAATGCGTTTCAGCATAGATGGCCACCACAAAATTGTACATTGGCTCCCAACTGGCCTGGGCAGCAGGGGCCGTTCCCTCACTGTTTCCAGGATGGCTTCACGGGCCACATGAAACCACTTTGCGGGCCGCATCCGGCCCCCGGGCCTTGTGTTTGACATGTCTGACCTATAGGAACTTAATGGTGGCATCAAGTAGGACCTCAGTTTGAAATCTTTGCCACAAACCGACAAGCTGGCAGTTCATAAACCACTTGTTTAGTTCCTTTCTACCCACTCTTATGCTTCTCCCCAGAATGAAACTCATAATGCTATCCTGCTCTTTAGCAAAGGACCTGGAATCACTACAAAATGCCACATAAATCTCTTAACTGTGATGATGGTATCATTTCCCCTCACTGGGAAAGGTTGTGGATTTTGCTATCTCTGCAGATGATGTAAGAGCAGTAGGATCAGTTGGCATCAGTTCCTATCATTTGCCAAGGAAACAAAATCCAGTTACTACTGGGAGATAAATGCACAAGGTATAAGGAAATTGATACATTGCACATCCCACATTACAGGTGACTTATGACCACAGTTAAGCCCCAAATTTATGGTGCTAAGTGAAAGATTTGTTAACTGAATTTTGCCCCATTTTATGACTTTTCTTGCTACAGCTGTTAAATGAATAATTGTAGTTATTAAGGTAATAACATGGTTGTTAAGTGAATCTGGCTTCCCCATTGACTTTGTTTGTCAAAAGTTTGCAAAAACTGATCCCAGGATCCCAGGACACTGCAACCGTCATAAGTGTGTCAGTGGCCAAGCGTCTGAATTTTGATCACCTGACCCTGGGGATGCTGCAGTGGTCATAAATGTGGAAAATGGTCATGTCATTTTTTTTCAGTGCCGTTGTAACTTTGAACGGTCACTAAATGAACTATTGTAAGTCAAGGACTACCCATATTAGCTCTTTTTAGATCTTTCAGAACATCTTCACATTTAGTTTAGGTAAATCATTATTAACCTCACTACAGGTTGTAGTCTTTGGCTTACGACAGTTCATTTAGTGACCGTTCAAAGTTACAACAGCACTCAAAAAAGCGACTTATGATGTTTTTTCACACTTAACGACTGTTGCAGCATCCCCGTGGTCATGTGATCAAAATTCAGCTGCTGGGCAACCGGTTCATATTGATGACTGTTGCTGTGTCCCAAAGTCACGTGATCCCCTTTTGCGACCTTTTGGCAAGCAAAGTCAATGGGGAAGCCAGATTCACTTAACAACCAGGTTACTAACTTATCAACTGCAGTGATCCACTTAACAGCTGTGGCAAGAAAGGTCGTAAAATGGGACAAAATTTACTTAACAAATGTCTCACTTAATAACAGTAATTTTGGGCTCAATTGTGGTTGTAAGTCAAGGACTACCTGTCCTGAGTTAGATATTCAGAAAAAGAGATATTTTAACATGCTTTTATAAAAGCCAGATATGGTAACTAGTATGTTTACTTCAGCTGGTTAATTTTTGGGGACTTTACAGGCCTCCTTTGTTTTTTGAAACATTTTTTATGAGGGACAGAGATTTGGTAGATACAGTACCTTCTATACTGAGGTTCAGTCAGATGTTCCTTTTAAGATCTCTGTGCTGCAGGGTTACCTTTTTCAGTGGATATCTCTTTACAAAGCACTTATTATATTGCTAGGTTTTTTTTCTGTTTTCTTTTTCTGACAACCATGTTCCAAATTGTATATGTAAGTTACATTGCAGTTGGCTGAAAGTGGAATGCTTCTGTTGAAGTCAGTGCAAGGTCAAAGTGAGGGAAAACCTTGACTGTATAACCAGAAAGTAAAAAGGAATAAAATGAGCTATTTCCGCCACCTTGTGGAGATTAAAGCATACTGTTTAAGAAGGCCAATGGCCCTTTATTTCTGTCTGCTGTCATGGTGAAACAATATTTTAGGATTAGAAACAATGGATTATGTTTATACCAACCTTTATTGGAAACCTGATTATTGCTTTAAATCCAATCAAGTATCATGCTTAGGAATATTGAAGGGACCTGGATCAAATAAAAGAGGATGAGAAAATCAATAAAGTATAATGGCAATCGTTTTTTATTTCTGAACATGAAAAACATTTTCTCGTGTTGATTTCTTGCTGCTTATATTAATTTATGGTCTGATTAAAATTAATACTATTTCTAATTTTTCTTTGTGGTTTTCTCATTTATAAGAGAATTAGGTATGAATTAAGTATAAATAGAAAAAAACCATTAATTTTATAAATCATTATCAGTTTCATATCTATAAGGAACGTATGTGCTATCTTCCATTTTTTTATCCCATGTGATATTTCACAGATAATTATTTTTTGGGTCTCGATAGATGCGAGTGATTAAACTTTACATTTGGGGAAAGAGTAGTACTCTTAAATTAGATTACTTTGTGCGGAATTGCTATAAGTGTATCTGTAAAACATCTTCAAAAATTTAATACATTTTATAGATTTTTGTGGGGATCTTTAATTTTAA